GTTAAATTCTATAAATAATATAGATTATGATGCTGAAAAGGAAGGTAGACCTTGGGTAAGATTGGGTTAATTATTATTAGATAAAAGTTTTTAATCGTGCAGGTTCGAGGCAATGCATGATAGGGGAAGGGGGAGGGTGCATACTGTATGTATATTTAATTCAATTTCTAAATTTAAGCATCCATTTTAGTGTTATTTGGAAAGAAAAGAATTGCTTCCAAAATAAAGTAATAAACTGGAGATTCAAAATATTTTATACATACAGTACGTATACCCTAAAATGATACTGGATTCCATCTCGCTCACTCTCTCTAATTGGGGGGGGGGGGGGGGCTGTCTATAAATCCGCGCAGTTTCTCTCAACTATCGCAGTTCTACTGTGGTCAGTTTCTCACCTGTGGGCGCGGTTCACGTGCACAAGCGGCACTTACATGTACATGTCTATCATCGTGTAAATTATAAGAATTTACACATCTTAAGTGATATTCTGACATTTTCATAACTTTCATCATTAAAGTAAAGAGATTTTTTCACTGTCTTGGGACCTTTGTGCAAGTGGATTATTGTGTGAATTCCGATCCGTACCTGTCTTATGCAAGGTATTGATCGAGGGAGTCTTGCATCAGGAATTCAGAGGAATACACACAACTCCTTGAACTTGCAACGGCGATTGAGGGTATATATCAAGTGTTATATGTGCTCTGCATATAAACTTCTCATCTTCTATAAGAAGCACTGAAATATTTTCATAGTATCATATTTCCCACTTAGAACAATCTCTTCTTTCATTTTTCGTCGAGAACGACAATGCAGTTTATAAATAGATCGAGGTCGCGTCTTTGTTTAGAGGGTGTTTGTGAAGAATCACGCCCTTTGGTTGGAGCAAATAGCACGAGTTTCTTTAGAACAAGTCGTGTACATCTTTTTCCCAGAATTCCAAATTATGCAAGCGTACTTGCAGTTTTATCCCACCGTAACTAGTCAGCCCGCGGGCTGACTAATGAAAAAAAAAAAAAAACACTGGCAGATTTAGAGGAGGTTCAGGGGGCTTGCAAGCCCCCTTTTTGTATCCAAAATGTACACAAGATTTAATAAATCAATTTTTATGTGGCTTTGGGCCCCTACCCCGACCCAAAACTGGTCGGGCCCCCTTTTCTAGATTCCTTTATCCGCCACTGAAAAAAAGAATGTGTTGTTCTCTTGGATGTCGATATCTGAATTATATTTTAATTAAACATCCTGTCTAATATATCATGGGCGCCAATAATAGGACGATTATTTGTTTTTTAAAATAAAGTGGTTCTTACAAATGTTTAAAAAAAACTTACAAACGGCTAAGTAATTATTTAATTCATCTAGAACAAAAGTTAGTTTAGTTATTTGCTTACATAATCTAACTTTTATAAATTAACACGAAAGTCGTGCGATCGTATACAAATACTCAGAAGCAATCTTCATATTTAATGAACGTATAGGTGAATAAATTGCCTCTCATCGCTATACGTATACCCCCATCCCCGAAATAAATAGAATGTTTTCCTTCGCAGCCGGTTATGTAAGTACAAGTGAGGATGGAGCTTTACAGAAGCAGGTGATGAATTCCGAGAGAAAGGCACTGCCTATTTTATATACATGTACATTCCTAGGGACCTGGTTTTCTTAACCGATGTCACTGTTATTCAAAGACCTAGCTAGAAATTCTCTCTCTCTCTTTGAAATGCAGGCCCGTCGATCGTAAAAAAATGACAAAATAATTTCAATTTTTATTATTTACATTTGCAAATATTTTTCTTAGATGAACCTATTGAAGAGAAAATATGTTCAATTCTGTACAAACTTATTAGGGGGTCAGAGGTCATGGCGTGACCGTATCACACAGCGAGATGATATCTTGTCTACATATTTCTGTCCCGGTGACACTGGTTTCGGAACTTCTAAGCCGTTAAAGCGATGAAAAAGATAAAATTATTGAAACATATATGTTTTTTTTCAATCAACAAATGATCATTAGTTCTTTCTTCGGTGTGAAGAATGTTTTTAATTAGCCTAAAATCACGCTTACCTTTTTAACCCGAAATTCCTTTGAAGGTATGTAAACTGAAGACGATATCACCGCTTTTGACTTCATATAAAGAACTCATACAATAATAGTAAGATCATTCTCAGTAGCGATCATTGTTTTTTTTTTTTTTTTTTTTTTATTTTGAATAGATATTTCCTGAACTGGACTGCTGAACAGCAATATAAGTATTCAAATGTTGGAGCGAGGCGAACTCTCAAGACCAAACAGCTTCTAGGTCACTTCGCGTCACAACATAGCATGAATACGGCGGGCCGTTCGTGTAATAAATGCAGTTCTTTTCAGAAAATTCGTCTCAAATGTAAATAAAAGTAATAAACAACAATGTTAAAAAGTTCTCTGGGAAATGAACTTGGTTGGTACCTGATCAAATCTGAGAAGCCCTTAGGGCTTCACAGGATTTGATCACGTGACCAACCAAGTTCATTTCCCAGAGAACTTTTTAACATTGTTGTTTATTTCTTAAATAAGTATCTCATCTCCCAAGCCCAAAGGCCCAAAGTAAGCTTTTCTGTTCATAATTCTTCAGCTTTGTTTGCTTTCTTGGCGTATATAAGCGTTATCGTCGTTGACGTTCTAAAGTTACTTGTAAAATTTTCTCATTTTTATCTTATCAAGAACTACTGGGCCATAACAACGAAAATTAACATAGAATATTTTTGGTAAAGTTTTGTTCAAATGAAGGGTCACATCCTCTTTTAACGGATACATGTAGTAAAAATTAAATGGGGTCCAGGCGCGGATCAAGGAATTTTTTTCCACCGGGGGGGGGGGGGGGGGGAGGGGATCCCAATAAAAAAATATTTCAACCCAGAAATTTCTTGACGAGCCAAAAAAAAAAGAAATTCTTTTCACAAACGTGAAAAACCTATTTCGTGTGTGTTTGTGTGTGTGTGTGTGTGTGGGGGGGGGGGGGGGGGTTCGTTGACTTTTAAAGCTTCATACCTAAGACTTTTCATACCATTTTAACACGATCCGCGTTATCGAGGAAGGGTCTGCGTTTTCTAGGGGGGGTGGTTACTTTTACTTGCTTTAGTATATACATTTAACTGCCCCCCAACCCCCTTTAGATCCGCGCATGGGGTCATTTGAAAATAGTATTCTCAAGAACCCCTGGACTAGAATGAGAAAATTTCCAACATAGCATACATTGATTTTATTTTTCAAATCTTGATTCCAGGGAGAAGGTTTGGGCCGGAAATAGTGTTCATAATTTAACATAGGAATTTATATATCCCCCCAAAACGAAGTGTGTTGGTTTGGGGTGGGGGTGTTTTGAGTCTTGGAATCACACTGTCCGTCTGCCTAGCTGTCCGTCTGTACGTGATAGTTTGCCCAGGATATAACTTTGTTATGAAGAAACTGGAAGGTCATACTTGGTACAAAGATTACTAATGATCCGAGGGTGTGTCATGGTTTTGATCCAACATCATTCCGGCAAGTTCAAGGTCACTTAAAAAAAAATAGCAAAGTTTTGTCCGACTCATTTATCTGTAATAGAGAGTCACCGGAAGCTCACTGGATACAGGAATTGCTTATGACAAAAAGGGTTTGCCACGACCTTCATTCAAGGTCATTCCTGTAAGTTCAAGGTCACTGACAGAAAAGTGTAAGATTACTGTATGTGCTATAATTTTGGAAGCTCATACTAGGAACAAAGATTGCTTATGATCCACCGGTTTGAGATAACATAGTACTAGATTGGCAGAAAGAGTGGCAAAACTCGTGCCTGGATTATAAATTTATAAGGAGTGGGAGGAACACAGGAAACTTTTTCTCAGATTGCTTGAGATGGGTTTGTCCTGACCTTGAATAGAGGTTTTTCCCGCAAGTTCAAGGTCACTGGCAGATAAATATTAATTTTTTTTCCATGCTATAACTTTGTAATATAAAATCACTGGAAGCTATTACTTGATACAGAGATTGCTTATGATCCAAGGATGTGTTTTGACCTTGATTCAAGGTCTTTCTGGTAAGTTCAAGGTCACTGACAGAAAAGTGCAATATTCTTTTTCAGGAATATCTTGGTCATTGAGTATCACTGGAAGCTCATAATTAGTTCAAAGGTTGTTTTTGAACTTAAAATAGGTCATTTAGGCAAGTTCAAGGTCACTGATATAATAAGTGTAAAATTCAAAAAGGTCTAGTCGCCCACGTGGCGCAGTGGTAAGAGTGTCTCCTCTAGAGTCGTGGATTAAGGAGTTGATCCTTATGTTGCAGGTTCGAATCCCACTATGGGACGCAGAGACCGATCCTTCAGATGAGACCGTATAAACTGAAGTCCCGTCTGGCAGTAGGTGCTGGCACGAAAAAGATCCTTCACTGTTCAATGGCCATGAGTGCCGAGTATAGGTCAAAATTTGCAGATCTCCATCGGCAAATATGGTGGCGTCTCCACATGATTGAAAAATTCTCGAGAGGGACGTTAAACAACATACACACAAACAAACAAACAAAAAGGTCTTTAATTTTGTAATAGAAAAAATTGCATGCATTTGCATTTCACTGAAAAGATGATAAATATATCATCCAAAGTGTGTAATGGCCTTGACTTAAATTCGAGGTCACTTAGAATATGATGTTTTGGATGAATAGTCTGAAAGAATACGTGACTGTGAATTTTTTTTTGTCGATGACATACAGATGGTGTTTGCTCTTAACCAGCTGCAGAATGTGTCCTGGCTTGACGCACGATTATTTGGACAAGTTCAAGTTCACTGACAGGGGAATTTTACATTCTTTTACTGTCTTTCTGCTGTTGAAACATTGGAAGTTGATGCCCCTTACAGGATTGTTTATAACCTTAAAATGTTGCATGACCTTGACTCAAGGTCGCTATGTTCTGTCCGGAGCTCCGACGGAAGACCTATTCGTTGCATTGCAACGAGCTCGGCTCTAGTTGATTAACTTATCATTTCAGAAATCTCAGGAAATGAAATCATCACAGCTATCACAAAACAAAGACTGGAGTTCAGAGAAAGAGTTCAACACTTAGGATAAAATTAATGAGGCAGTGACTTTCATCTTCCATGAATCTATAAGCACTTAAGACTACAGTTTTATCATGTTTATGTTTCAGTATAAGAAACTACTAAACAAAGGACAGTCGTTGACTACAAAAGAAAACCTGGGTTGACTTGTGATATTCTGTGTAACATGATTGCCAAATACCAAGGTTTAAAACTAAAAGATTTATTTTTCATGAATTCACCTATGTTTAGATTTTTTGAATATGAAATCATTTGGGTATAAGATCAATTGAATGGCAAACAAGCAGATGACTTGGTAATGATAGGATCATTTGTGAAAAATATCACTCAAATTGTGAATATTTACTTGTTGTTGTGTTTTTGGTGTGGATGGAAATGTATAACAAAAAGGATAACAAAAAATAATTATCTGTCTATAAATAAAAAACAAGTTGTATATTATACAATCAAGTTAGTTCAATGATTTATTTACCTGAAGAGTACATTATTCTCTGACCTCAAAAACAGCCTGAGATATTTAACATTTTCATGTTTAGCACTTTGGGATTATCTCCCCTTTTCAGTTAAATTAGAACATAATATACAAATTATATATGTTATAAATTAGAACACTGGATATCAAAATATTATATTGATTAATTATAAAAAGCAAATAGTTGTACTGTATTTGAAATTGCAAATTAAAAAAAAATTGTTTTGAAATATCAAATTAATTTTACATGCACGCATCTACGGCATATTCTGGACTTTGACAAAAATAGTGAAATTGCTCTTTTTTGTTTGAAACTTACCCATATTTTTCAGATATTAATAATAATTTACACAAAAATGTTTTATTCTTTTATAAACCATTGGGTATGATGTCTATGAAAATAACATAGCCTTTTGAGTTGGATGTTCAGTTCTTATATTTTTTTAAAGGCTGAAAATCCTCAAAAAATCGGTATTTTCATGTTTTTTGCAAATTTGGATTAACTCCCTTTTTCAGTGAAAAATTAGAAATTTTTCCTGGACATGGAAATATTTTGATTAATTGTGAAAAGTTTCTTGTGTTGTTGTGTTTTGAGTTGAAAATAAAAAGAAATTGTTTTGAAATGTCATATTCATTTCACTTGTATACATCTATGGCATATACTGGACTTTGACAAAAATAGTGAAATTGCTCTTTTTTGTATGAAACTCATCCATAATTTTCAGATATTAATAATAATTTGCACAAAAATGTTTTAATACTTTTATTAGACACAGGGTATGATGTCTATGAAAATAGCACAGTCTTTTGATTTGGCTGTTGGGTTTTTATATTTTTTAATAGACGAAAATCCTCAAAAAAATGGATATTTTCAAGTTTTTGCAAATTTGGATTATCTCCCCTTTTCAGTGTAAAATTAAAACATCTTACTGGACATAAAAATATTTTAATTTATTATAAGTAACTAGTTGAGCTGTATTTGAATGAGCAATAAATATAATTGTGATTTCTTTTCTGATTTTCTTTTTATTTAAACTTGAATATTGGCAATTTTGCAAATTTTTAGAGGAAATTTCAGCCATAATATGCTGCAAGCAATGTTTCTGTTGCCATGGAAACCAGACACTGATTTGATAAAAAATATTTTATTTTAGGAAGTTACTAAGCATACTCTACCAGCATGCGAAGTTTAAAAAAAATTGAAAACCCTTCATGTGCCGCCCCCTGCCTGATTCTTACGTGGAATAGTACTTAAGTCATGAGCGAATGCTTGTCTTGTAATATTCCTCTATCACTGCTTCTTATGTTTATGTCTCCCAACTTATTCGCTACTCAAGAGCTTGATCTGAGTACGACCAGTTTTAAAGCTAGGCATACTACTCATTGATAAGGTGATGCTACAGGGATTTCAACAACCTCGTGAAAAGGCAACATTTCGTAAATTCAATGGTCGTTCTAATGAATTTCTTAACAAATATAACCTATCACTGGGTCGTATTTTCTCTGACTTGTCTAATACCAATTGTTTGACCATTGTTTTTATACTAGATTTGACTACGTAAAGTTCCGTTTACCTTATCAATACATACATGTAAGGCTCACGGCGAGCTTAACCGGTCAACAGGAGATGCTTACTCCTCCCAGAAGACTGATCCCACCTCTGAAATTTCCAGGGGTCCGTGTTTAAGCCCTCTTCACATATTTGTACTGTAATTGATAATATACATTGAATTTGTATCATTAAACTGCTGTAAACAGTATGTGAAGTAAAGTATAATAAGAATTATTCATTGATAATTTGTCAAACAAATTCTGAAGTGCGTGTGGTGTTGACTGGAGGAGGAAGGTGTGGCTGCGATGAGGTCAGGGATTAAACTAAATGCACAAAATCGGGTAGAATGAAACAAATCAGTGTAGATAATCGTTTAATTTAAAATAAATATATTCTTTCTTAGTAATGTATAAATATTTTTTTTTAATTTTGTACAATTATGTCTTCATCAACTTAACTTACCGTTGTCTACGTTATTAGACAACGGTATATAAGGTTAATTTTATCAGAAAACAGAATGAAAAATAAATATTTCTTACAATCATGCACTGACTACCAGGTAATGCTATGTATAAAGTCAATAAAAATGGGTGTCCTCATTATTGTACGGAGATTCAAGAAACTGTTATGATCCCCGCCTATGCAAACATATTCCTACTTTATAAATACAAACTTTGGTTTAAAGTAATCACATAAGTTTTAGATTGTTAGTTGACCATGAAATAAAAGTTACAATTAGAATAAAAAAAATACCTTTTTAACTAGAGCCGAGCTCGTTTCAAAGCAACGAGTAGGTCTTTCGTTGGAGCTGCGTGCAGGAAGAAGTGACCTTGAGTCAAGGTCCTGTCATATTCTAAGGTTATAAGCAATCTTGTAAAGGTTATCAACTAACAATGTTTCACTCTGTAGTAAAAAGACGATAAAGGTATGTACAAGATCTTGAACTTGTCCAAATGACCTTGCGAAAGCCATGACACACGCTGGTTATGAGCAAACTCCATCTGTATATTACTGACTTCTAAAATTCACATATGTTCTTACAGTCTATACATCCAGTCAAAACAGCTTATCCTTAGTGACCTTAAACTTGAGTTAAGGCCATGTCATACTCTGCATGATACCAGCAATGTTTCACTAGAAAAAAGACGGTAACGAATTGATAGTCTCTCATCCAAACTCATCCAAATAATCTTTCATCAAAGCCATAACACACACTGGTTAAGAAAAATCCCAATCTGTGAGTTTTTGACTAGATAAGTTCAGTCATGTTCTTTTAGACCATAGATTGAGTCATAATAATTTATTGGGTTCAACACAATGATTAAAGGATTCATTGTGAATGTTTTTGTCCAGTTTGGATATTGAACAAGACGTGTTTGTGAAACACTGATGCCCCGGTATTGCAGCTTATGGCAAAGGTTTAAGTTTCTCATATCCGAATCCAACTCCAAGGTCAAAGTCAAGAGATAAAAAAATTATGTTACCCAAAGAAAGATCTAGTCTTAGGGAATTTAACTGTAAAAAATGAATCCGCTGGGACAAACTGTTGAAAAGTATGGTAAAGTTTAAATTTTTTTGATACTCAAGTCAAAGTTTAAGGTCAAGGACAGATTAGCGGTGTCCAAGGGAATGTCTTGTCACAAGAAATAGACATTGAAATATGAAAGCCCTAGCATTAATGAATCAAAAATTATGGAAAAGGTCAACATTTTTTTCAAAAGTAGGTCAAACCCCAAGGTCAAGGACAAAAGTCAAAACTCTCCGAACTCAAGGGGGGGGGGGGGGTCTTGTCACAGAAAACACACATGTAAAAATATGAAAACCCTAACACCAACCGTTGAAAAGCTATGAACAAGATTAAAATGTTTCAAAGGTAGGTCAAATTCTAAGGTCAAAGATAAGTTTTTAAAAGTATACGTCAAACTCCAGGGTCAAGGTCAAATAGCAAAAATTGTTGATATCCAATGAACGACATTGTCACAAGGAATACACCTGTGAATGTGAAACGCTAGTCCCAAAAGTTCAAAAGGTATTGCCAAGGTTAATTTTTTTTAAAAAGTGGGTCAAACTCCAAGGTGAAGGTCACAAGGTTAAAAATATTTATTCCGAAGGAAAGGTCTTGTCACAAAGAAGTTCGGATGTGAAGTATGAAAGCCCTAACACCAACTGTTCAAAAGGTTAAATTTTGTAAAGTTGGTCAAACTATAAATAGAAAAATAGCCTTAATGAAAAAGTGAAAAGTTCAACACTACACCGGAGATAATTCATTTCTTTTAGTGAAAATAATTATGTAAAAACATCACTGGGCCATGAAAAGTGCTGCTAGAATCCTACTCTCCCTACACAGAAATAAATATTCCAAAGTTTCGCATGAAACCTTACCAAAATTTTTACATTTTATACATACGATCAAGGAATTGTTATCAATTCATGTTAACCACACGATTCTAGCAGCACTTTCTAAGTACTATAGAATACAAGCTTTCGATACAAATAAAAATTATGTTTCAAAGTATGCGGCGTAGTGTTGAATTTTTGCATCTTTGTTGTTATAGAACGACAGAGGAAAGGCTGATCGGGATTTCAAAGCACTGCCTGTGTTCATTATAAGAATACATGATAAGAATATATCAGCGTACCTGATTCTTAATCTTTATTCCTTATGAATCACATATAACATTCACGGTATATGCTTTAAAACTCCCATTTTATATATTTGTTTACATGAATTCTCGTCACGTTTAATTTCACTCGGCAAATATTTGATCAATTGTTATGACGTCAAGGGTTTGGTATTTAACCCCCGTGCTAAATACTTAGCTATTTATACCATCAAAAAACCACAAGATTTAGTTTATATTATGTTTTGAATGATTCCATTCATTTCTTTGGCCTGAAATTAAACTTTAAATGTAGATATTAAGAAATCACTATTTCTAAAGTTCACGTCATACAGCTTACTATGACGTCATATTGTAAAGGCAAGTAGGATATCTCTGAGTGTAGCCTTAACATACCCACGAAGTCTCAAATAAATTTTGTTAATAATAAAGGTTTTATATTTCCTTTATGAAATAACAACCTAGATAGCATAGTGGATAAAGCGTGAGCGAATAAAAGCTTTGAAAAAAGCATGTGCCCTCTAAAGAAAAGGTCGTGGGATCGAATCAAGGACGGGGTACTTTTTTTCACTTTTTGAAAAGTTTTTTTTCTAGCTTTTCTTCCTTTTTCTT